TTGGAAAATACTTATGTTAGTGATTGTTGTTATAATGATCTATAATATCAGTAGGCACACATCGAACGTTGATAAAATAACAATTTCAAAACAATTTCTGAACGTTTAACATATTAAAATTATATAATATATTATATATATATATTATTTAAAACATATTGTATTTAATAATCGAAAATTACTTGATGTATTATAAAATGAAAAGATTTTTTTAAGCTTAAAAATATACAAATATCGCACAACTATATAGTTATAGTAGGTACTATAATTTAGAATATAAATGCAAAAATTTATATATTACGAAAAATCAGACCAGGGAATGAGTTCATGTAAAAAAATAAATATAATTTTTAATAAAAAAATTAAAAATTAAACAAAATTGTTCTATTTGTATACAAAACTAGCTGAATAACCCGGCTTCGCCCGTGCATAGTTTTTTGTGTTACCTACTATTACTTTTATTTTATCAGTTTTTATATTTATTACAGGTTAGGTTCTGATAGCGTGGGGCATAATTGTGCTATTTATGTTCAATAATTCAACAACCATATTAATTATTTTTTTATTAATTTGTAAGAATGTAGAAAATCTTAATTTAAAAAAACTTAAAGAACCGTACATAAAGTGGGGTGCGTGCGTACACGAAGACGCATTAGTATTCTATAATAATAAGTAAAACACCTCGTTATTTTAATACATTTCAATATTTAGAAAAAACTGTAGTTAACATATTATGTAGGTAGGTACTAATTTTGTAAGTGTGCGTATACGAAGACGTGTTATTTAATAATAATAATAATAATAATAATAATAATAATTAATTGTTATAATAAAATGATAAATATGTCAGCACATAAATCAGGTTGTTATAGCAACCATTTATAAACAAAATTTCCATCGTAAATCTCAAAATCCCCGTTTGAGCAACCCTTTAAAATGGGAATTTAAAAAAAAAAATTAGATTTAAAAATGTTCTTATAAAATATTTTTAAAAAACTTTATATTATTTGAAATTAAAATGTTTCTATCATAAACTAAATCGTAATTTACTTAACGGAAATATTGATATTTAAAAAAGTTGTAAAAATCAGCCATTTGACTTAAATAAGTGATTTTACCATAAACATTTTTCTGAAAATCAAATTTA